TGCTTCATATTTCTTAACTATTGTCTAAATAATTTTAATGTTCAAAATGAAAAGAATAGAAGTAATAACAAGTGGGCAAATAAACAATTTTCAGTGGGTTTCATTTGCTTAGCTAGAAAATTGTATAGTTTAGGTGTTTGGATGCTAAGAAAATGGTTTCAATCAGTATTTTAGAATAAGTATTGTATTAATAGGTGTTTAGTTGTTGAGAAAATTATGGTGGTTGTTGAGAAAATTTGTTAAGAAAATTGTGATTTAATTAGAAATTAATTGAAATCTTAATTTTGATTAAAATAAGTAATTACAATTTAATAAATGAATTAAAAGATCCATAGTCTAGAAGTTTGATGATTAGTGAGTGAAATCCGGTGAGTGGAATTTGACATGGCATCACTTTTTGTCCATATAAACTTCTTCTTCTAATTTAATTTGTCACATCACTAAAAAAATATAAAAAAAATGTCACGTGGATGGAGTTAACGACCTAAACTGACAGAAAGATCAAAATTATGCAGTTCTTAGAGTTGAAGAATAACAAAAGTGCAAAAAAAGTTAAAGGACCAAAAAAGTATAACTTTACAAAGTTGAAGGACCAAAATTAGCATTTAACCTAATACCAAATATTGTAAGTATGTGATTTTAATAAAAAATTATATTCAAATTGGGATGGTCACGTAGTCACGTGGCAGAAACTCAATGGCGGTAGCATAGATTTCTCCTGGACCTCTACTACAGTATATCCCAACCTAAATCCTAAACCCATGGCCAGTCTGTGGACGCCAAAAGATAAAACCCTGCTCTTCTTCTTCCTCCTCCGCCGTGTCATTCCCTTCCGTCATCCAAATGGCCAGAACAGCATGCGCCAATCTCATCCCAACCCTAACGTTTCTTCCACTCAAATCCACTGTTTTCACCAGAAGCTCCCAATTAATGGGTGTCATTGGAATTAGAAGGAGATTATACTCTTCTTCTTCTTCCAAAATAAGCATGAGCTTGAGAGCAGGCATCGTCGGTCTCCCCAACGTCGGAAAATCCACTCTTTTCAATGCTGTTGTAAGTCCCTGTTTGGTTTTTGTCAAAATGTGGCAAAAGGAAACAACTTTGAATCCTGGCTCTGTATTTCTGTTAATTGAGATTGGAGTTAAGCTAATTTTTACTTAGTTGAGAGTTTTTTGTGTTTAATGGAATAAAATCAAGGTTTTTGATGTTCATTTCAGGTACTATAGCTCTTAGTTGGGTTAATTGGATAGTTCTTGGATTGTGATTATGTGTTGATGCTTGGTATAATATTTTATCATTGATTATGGGTATGTACTGTATTGATTTCGGATGCCAATATATGTAGGTTGAGAATGGAAAGGCTCAAGCTGCTAATTTTCCTTTTTGTACAATCGAGCCGAATGTAGGCATTGTTGCTGTTCCAGATTCACGACTCCATGTTCTTTCCGAACTCAGCAAATCTCAAAGAGAAGTAGCAGCATCTATAGAATTTGTGGACATTGCTGGGCTTGTGAAAGGTGCCAGTCAGGGGGAGGTCAGACCGCTTGACTTCTTTGATTAGTTTTAGTTATTTTTTGTTTCCTTGGAGGTTGGATTCCTACTCTCTACACTGACAGCATGTATTTTTACTATTGCAAATTGGGTTCTTATGCTTCCTAAAATCACGGTTGCAGGGGTTGGGTAATAAATTCTTGTCACATATACGAGAGGTGGACTCCATTCTTCAGGTTCTTGTTTATCTTTCTTCTCATGTAACATCTTTTATTCCATCTCTTATTTGTCTCTTCATATTGCGAATGAGCTATATTGGTGTTATTCCCCAAAATCTTCATGATTGCTCTCCTTTAATCCTGCTTCATGTAGAATCATATCCATCTCAAATTGTAAGCAACATTTTAAATAATTTGGATAGGGAATGTTAGTCAACTTTTCACCTGCAAGAAGAGAGTAGTGTTCTTAACAAAACTCGTGTCATGGTACAAAGGCAATTAAATTACAAGGATCCATATTAAAAACAAGTTAGAGGAAAAATTACATTCTGTCACTGTGAAATATGTTTCAGTACAGCTAAAATTGGAATAAGGATATAGCACAATAGAAAGTGGAGCTTGCAGATCAGATGCTGACTTTCCAAGTGTCTAGTAAAATGTAGAAAATAGAAATGTGTAGTTAATAGCTTCATGATATTTTATTTGACTGGCTTATATTATATAAGGCACCCCAATTTTGCTAGTTAATGAAGCGAAAAGGGAAGAGCTGAAAAGCAGGCAAACTAGTTGATTGCTAATGTGGCTTCAATAGGTTAATTAGTGTATTTCTATCCTTTTAATGCATGTTTGAAAATACTGCATGGTTTTATTAAGAAAAAGCTTGGTGACTTCGTGTATCTGTCTGTCTATATTCTAATGAATTGCTATTATTAGTTCAGGTTGTGCGCTGTTTTGAAGATAACGACATTATTCACGTGAATGGAAAAGTTAATCCTAAATCTGATATAGATGTCATCAATTTAGAGCTTGTTTTCTCAGATTTGGACCAGGTATGATAACAAGAACTAATTTAACACCGTTTCAGCACTTTGTTGTGGCTGCTGATTTTATAATGCTTTTAATGAGTGGACTTAAAACATCTTGCATAATATCTATGGCTTTATATTTAATTTACTTTCTTATTATTTTTGCCTCAACTTTATTTAAGCTAGAAGAGATATACTTAAAAAGATTTTGAAGGTGTCCCCAACTGGAGTAGAGTTAGTCAAAAGGATCTCCTAGAGTCCTAGAGTTTGTTACTTCTGAAACTTGGCTCTGTTTTAGCTATTCAAGGTTGTTGAACTACTTTCTCTCTCTTAAGATGCTTAAAGTTTCATTGATTGACACTAAGCTACTCTGTTTGATCATGTGATCAAACAGTTGTTATTTTGAACCACAGTTGTTATTTTGAACCATGGAGTTTTTTTAAACTATCATTTTCTGGTTTTCCATGCGAATATTTACACACCTTTTAGCTATTGTGTTAGATCATGTGATCCAATTTAGCTTTAAATTTCAAATTTTGATGCTTCTGAATTTGCACTTGGTGTGTCACTACTGTTACAGGACTCAACACTGGAATCTTTTTACTATGGAATAAGATTGTCTAGTGGACAAATCATAAGATCATAAGATCTTTGTTTTTCCTGGTTATCATTTGAACATTTTGGCATGGATAATGCATCTGAATCTCAAGGGTGTGTCCACTCTAACATGTGCATGTACACATTGAAATATGGATCGTGTCTTTCCAAGATTTGTCATAGACTCATAGCAAGGAATACATATTGCGTTACATCTACATTTATGTTTTTTTATGTACTCTACAGATGCAGTTGTTTGCCTTACCATGTGTTTCATATTTGTCTTAATTACTTCTGTTGAAATTTTTATGCTCTACTAATCTTTATGGACTTCTATATTCAGACACACTTACAGCAGTTAGCAGATAATGTGAAATGAACTGATAACATATGTTTTATAAGAAATACAGATTGAGAAAAGAATGGAGAAGCTCAAGAAAGGGAAAGGAAAAGATTCGCAATCTAAACTTAAGGTAAATGTGTTTTATTGTGCTTCTAGGTCAATTGTCATCTGTCTCTAATTCTGTGTGTATTAGCAAAGTTATTTTGGTGCCTTGAATTTAAAGCAATATATGATAGTTTAGGAGGAAGCAGAAAAATCTGCCTTGGAAAGGATTCAACGTGCACTCATGGATGGAAAACCAGCACGCTCAGTTTCTTTAACAGATTTTGAGAAGGATTCTGTGAAGCATCTTTGTTTGCTTACAATGAAACCAGTCATATATGTAGCCAATGTTGCAGAATCTGATATTGCAGACCCTGGAGGTAACCCCCATGTCAAAGAAGTGATGAATCTTGCTTCAGAGTTGCAATCTGGAATGATGACAATTTCTGCACAGGTCTGGTGATACTCACATAAAAAAGTCTTTATTATTATAAGTAAACTGGCTTGCATGTGGCAAAAACCAGTTTTTCCTTGACATCCTTTCTGTGTTTGTTACCTTGTGTCTTCTCGTGGATGTGGATGCAGTGTCATCTTTTGCCTAAACAAGAATTTTTTATATTCAAATAAACCTCTTTTTGATATTGATGTTGCATATGTATCCATTTTATTTTGCATGGTGACTGAGGAAGGCCATCATTGTAGGTTGAGTCAGAGCTCACTGAACTTGCATCTGAAGAGAGAACAGAATATTTGAAATCTCTTGGTGTGAGTGAAGGTGGGCTTGGAAACCTTATTCGGGCAACATATAGTCTTCTGGGGCTGCGTACATACTTTACTTCAGGCGAGAAGGTGAAGAATATATACATGGAAATGGTTTATTGAAAATAATATTTTTTCATCTATTTAACCATGGGTAACATGATTTCTACAGGAAACAAAAGCATGGACGATACTTGCAGGTTAGCTTTGAATCTGCTGATTGTCATACATGTAAAGTGGGGTCCCTTTATATATTTATTTTTATAGTTTGAGAAAGGAGAGATTTGTTAGAGCTTTGTAGAAGATAGGTGTGGCTTTTGATTAGGCTGTTGCTTGACCTGATAGCTTTTCTCATTTTCATGACCTTTCTATTTTTATTTTAATTATTCATTGCTGAGGTTAATATTATCTTTTTTATCCGTTCTTCAGGAATGACTGCACCTCAAGCAGCAGGAGTTATTCACTCTGACTTTGAGAAAGGCTTCATTCGTGCTGAAACGGTAGGCATTATTACTAGTATTGTGATTCTAATTCTCACAGATTCTGAAAAAATATATGCCTCATTGGTCTACTGAAATAGACACCTTGTTTTGGGGTTTGTAATGTGATCTTGAATCTCCTAGATCCTTTGTGTAGGTGTGTTATTTTTCTTGTATTGATTCAATCATACAACTCTAAACTCATTAAGATCTGAGTAAAATGAAGCTTAAAACCTTATATATGTTTTCGTGGGAGGACTGCAAGGTAACATTGGATGTGTGTTTACACTCTAAGTAATCTACCAGTGGCACTCTAAAATGTGCACTTTGCTTCAATTTGCAAGATGGTTCTTAAATGCTTTCACATGTTTCTCTGAGCATTTTGTAATGATGGAATTTATGATAAAGTGTCTTGAATAACTTTGTAATTTATTTGTTTTGAGTTATCTGGCAGATCATTGTGAAACATGTTTTCTTGCTATTATCTTCTATGATTAACATGAGCTGTACATTTTTCAGGTGGCCTATGATGATTTTGTTGCTGCTGGTTCACTGGCAGCAGCAAGGGAAAAAGGACTTGTAAGTTAGTCCCTTCGCTGTCAGTTTTTTCTATTAAGTTTTATTAATTATTATTAACCATACCCTGATTGCACAAAGTTTTGTAATTAACCACACCCAACTCACACAAGTTTCCCTTAGTTCTATCTTCTATGGAACCCCAAAATTTCTTTCCCTAATGCATTTTCTCTCCGAAGTTGGCAATTCTGTGTCTTCTGCCAACCTGCAAAACCAGCTAAAAAAGTTGGGTTTAGATGAAGAAATTCTGAACCTATGGGATTGGGAATTGGAGTTGACTTGGACCTTAAGAAGCAGACACTGGAATTTCATAACCTTGCACCTAATCCCTTGAACCCATAATGCAGGGTCCTAGAGATTCTCTCCTCTCTTTAATTGTCTGAATTTCTATTGACGGGAAGTTTTTGTTAGGTCTTAAATTCAAACTTTGGTTTCCCTTTGTTGAATCCTTTGCATGTCATCTCCATTTTATGCAAAAAAGTTTTTTGGGTGTGGGGCGGACGGTGAGAGGGGGGGAACAAGGATAAGTTTGATTATGTTCCAAATCCAGTGCTATTTTATGCAAGATGTTATTCATGAGTGGTCAAAAGAAGGATGTCGTTTATTTGAGTGCTAAACCTAGGGCCAAAATATTCTCCTGATATATTTTAACCTCTGCAGTTGAGATCTGAGGGAAAAGATTATGTTGTACAAGAGGGAGATGTAATGCTATTTCGTTTCAACGTATAATAGCTGTATATTTGGAGCTGAAGGCAACTTTTTGCTCTGTCTGATGCTACACAAATCAAAGGACTAGACGGTCGGCTTACTCCTAACTCCTTTTGGGAATCCAGTGGTCTGAACATCCCATTAGGAGGTAAGTATGATACAATTGGGAGCTTTCACCATATATCACTTACGAGATTTATATATAGACAATGCTTGTTGTAGTATCAGATTCATCAATTCATTACAGTTCCATTGCAAGGAAAAGAACCCTTCTCTGCTCTCCTTCCTGTCATTATGACATCAAATGTGTTTAATCCCAAATATGTTGCTCCACAAGGATAAAGTTCTGCTACATTCTTTTTGTCCTTTCGGAGAATAAAGGCAGTTCAAGGTTCTGGTAAATTCAGGAACTCATATTTCAATGTAAGTAGAAACTAGCAAATTGTGTGAGTTTTTTGGCAAGTCATTGAAACAGTACCCCGTTACTGGTTCAAAGTGGTTCAAGCAGTGGTTCGATGCTGAAATAGGAATACTGAAA